TGGAATTTTTTTCATACACATAATTTAAAAATATTTTTTTAAAGAGAAAGGGAAATCCTCCTATAACCATAATCCCTACCATGGCTATCAAAGAGAGGCTTTATGAGTGGCCATAGAAGATTCAGTCAATAATCTGTGGCCACTTTTGGAAAATAAGAATGAGGACAAATAAAACATGTCCTTCCATAAGATTACCTTGGATTTCAGAAACAATTGTGTTCAGGGGAGCAACATTTTTGCCTCTCCCAGGAATGGCTAAGCATTCTTACATTGTCTGAAACAGACACAAAATAAACCCCTTCCAGAAAACAAAAACCTAAAACCTGAACTCTATACAACTCTGTTCTCTTTTCTTATTGTCTGTCTTCATAAATTGACTCTACTTACAATGTACTTGCCCTCTTAAATAAGGTGGAGCCTTGTTTTGGTCAGTGTTCTCAGAATAAAGGGCTGCTGATCAAAGCTGTGCAGCTGCAGTGTTGCCTGTAGTGATGCTGTGCATCAGCAGAAGTCTGAAGGGTGCGGTATGCCAATGCTGGATTCCTTAATTAATGCAAAGATGCCAGGAAAGCAAACAAATAAAACTCTCCAACAATCTGTTCTTTAAATGCTTTCATGACTAGTGGATTCAAGGAAATACTTTCATAGGCGCCATTTACTCTCCAAATTAAGCAAGAAGCAAGGAATTTTCCTTTTTCCCCTCTTCATGAATTTATGGAGGGTGTTTGTTTAGCAGAGCACTGCGAACTACACAGTGCTTTCCTTGTTGACTAGATTCCAGCAGCAGCAGCAATTAACATTGGTTTCCTAGGCAACCATTTTGTACCCTACTGAGAAAAACCTTCTTGACAGGAGCATTCTGTCTTAAATTGTTTTGTTTTCCTTTTTCACCAAGTGTACGGTAGACTGATTTGTCATTTCTTTTAACACACCATTATTGTACCCACGACACTTCAAAGCAGAAACATTTAGTGGTTTTTATAGCCATATGGTTGAATTTACTGTCAATGCATCTTGGTTCACTTTTAACAAGCTGCAAGAAATCAACAAAAATATGTGCCCGGGCATATGCCGATTTGCCTGGATTTTGTGTTCACAGTCTAACTGGTGAACCATTGCATGTTCAAGGAGGCACAGCTGGTCCTGATCCAGATCCACGCGCTGCACAATCAACACTTATTTGGTCTACCAAAAATGCTCCATCTTCACTCAAGATGCAGCTTAGAATTTTCAGAGCTGTTGAAAGGTTGTCAACCCCATCAATTGTATTAATTAATTGGTTTTCAGTAGGCTAACATCGCAGTGATCATAGTATGAAGATGCACCGTGCCCAGATCCTGGGCCTGCCTTTAAAATTCTGCCATGATGGAGACTGAAACAATCAGGTCCTCGGGTTGGTGGAGTGTGGACAGTCCGCTGGAGGACAAGGGCCTGGAGGAGCGATAAGTGCTGAGCTCGACGGTAACGCAGTGGTGCAAGGTTAACTGAGACACCTTTTGTAAGAGACAAAAGCCTGATACAGTGTCTGGTAGCCAGTGCCAGGCACTGAAGCAAGGAGGTATTCCAAATATTTTCCTAAGTGATGACCTGTCTCTATGCTTCTCATCCTATTTCTTTATGTCACGTATTCTCATACTATCCAATAGTCAACAACTTTACCACTTTGTAAAAAGCTATGAGACAAATTAGATCCAGAGAAGTTACTCTTAATGTTCCTTCTAAGTAGTTTGTAATCAGATTTCCTTGAGTTATTTCTGAGTGTTCTTTTCTGTTATATAAGTTTTTCTTACAAACTTTTCTTAGCTATAAGCTGACTTTACAGCCAAGCTATTTTCATTGCCTGTAGAAACATTGTCATGTTGACATTAATGATAAAATAGACTATCACAAGGTTAACATTCAAAAACTAGTCACCTACTAGTAACTTCTCCAAAGCTAAGCTGATGTTCATTGGCCGAAATCCTAACATTCACAAAAGAGAAAAAACAGAAATATCACACATACTCCTTGACTAATGTAATTTATAGCATAAACTAAAAAAAACTTCACTTCCCAAAAAGTTTTGAAGTCCAAAACTAAATGATTGAGGTTTTCAAAATAGTTATTTACAATAAGCAGTATTAAACTTTCAACTGTAGAAGTCAATATTACCTTTCAATTGTGTATGATTGATAATTAATTTATGTATAATACATTTATTTTTAATCCTCTCAACAGTCAATTTCTAGTCATAAATTTGCATATGTATTTGAAAAAGAAAAAGAGAAGGTGGAGAAAAAAAACAATGAAACGATGTCTTTTACTCTCTTACCTACAGGAGATGTCCTGCTGCTAATTGTTCTGGTGAGCTTTAAGGCCAGCTAGCTCTTTGGCGCTCCATCTAGATGATAGTCCAGAGTTGGACTTGATGATAGGGATTCCAAATAGATGGGACCCCAGGATTTATGCAACCAGGTTTGAGAGCAGAAAATGAGAGAGAGAGAGAGAGAGAGAGAGAGAGAGAGAGAGAGAGAGAGAGACAGAGGAGAAAGAAAGTGTTTTATTCCTTCAAAACTTTGTCTTTGAAAAATACTTCTTCTGACCATCATTATAGACACAATATTAACAACAATGAGTTATAGTATCAAGAGATAGGCATAAATAATGCTAGCCTGGTGGGACTAGTCTCTCAGAATATACTGCCATGGCTGCTAGTGAGATACCGAAGTGGTAAGAACCATCTGGACATCTCTTTCATCAAGGATTCTTGGCGTGCTGTCTATTACATATTATGTAATTACCTAGCTGAGATCCCAATCATCCCATGCACCAATGGCTATTACTTGTTCCATTTTGTAAGAAGCACAATGAATTCTAGTGAATTTATCAGGATAAAATAACAAGATGGTAGAAGTTCTTCAGTACGGACCCATATTTTACTGAACTAAAGACCTTAATAGTTCCTTAAAAACTTACCCTAAAGGATAGTTGCCCCTTAAAAAGGTAAAAATATGGCTCGTGGGTGGGTGAGTGAGTGGATAGGTGGGCAGGTGAATGAATAGATGGAAGGAAGCAATAGACATATATGTTGGATGAATGAAAAATGTCATACATGATTAAATATATTAAAGTAATAAGCATATATATAAGACAAGAGTCATAGTCTTTATAATTTCACTTTTATTAGTTTGATTCTATGACTATAATACTTGATCATTTGTGTTTCTTTGGTACATTTATTCTTAATTATCCGTGAGCTAACCCAAACCCTGAGTGAATTTGCTCCTGTCCCAAGAGCCAGGCAACGGGGATGCAGAATTCACCCAGGAGAGCTCTAATTACATTTCTGCTGAGGGAAAAAAATCATCTCTTACTTCATAGGGAAAACTACCATTAATATTCTGTTGATAAATTACTTTGCCTCTTTCAAGGAAGATTATAAGTTCTCTGGACCAAATGAAACCCCCAGAGCTCCTGGTCATGATCATATTTCCAAATACAATGAAGTTTTGAATAGAAGGCAAATAATTTTCTATTTGAAAATATTTAATAATTTCATTATTCCAAACAACCATAACACATTAGTTAGCCCAATATGAACTTGACTTCCTCATATGTTATCAAGTTAGTCTTAAAATAGAATTTTTAAAGTCAAAATTGGATGCTAGGAGTTGAACCCAAAGTCTTATGCATACAAGGCAAACACTGTATCACTTAACTACATATCCAGCTCCTGATAAATTCTTTAAGAAATATAAAAGTTTAACAAGTCTTCCAAGATCATGTTAAAATTATTTTCTGGCAAATATAATAAATGTGTACAAAAATAAAGTCACCTCATTCATAAGTTATGTCCACTGGAAACCAAAAGTACATTTCTAAATTAGTTTTCCCCCCAAACAAAAAAAATCAAATATCTTAGGCTTTCTTTTCCAAAATAAATAGAAACTAAGTTACTGCTCACCAATGAAACATGATAATGTGTGTACAGTGCGTTTGTGAAGAGTGAATCTGACGACACGAACCAGGGCCATGCATGCCTTCAATTCTCTGCTCCCTTGTCTCTATGTAGACTGTTTTAAAACTCCTTTATAAAATGCCCACATTGTCATTTTGGCTATTTTGTCTGAGTCCATTCTGCATGTCTCAAGTTCTATTATGTTATAAACAATTGAAGTAATTTTGGTTAATACCAACATGCAGTCCTGCACAAAAGATTGAAATATTGTAGCAATGCTGAGTTATTATTTTGCCACATAAGCTAATGATAATTGTTCTTTTATAAATATTTTCTCAGTACAAAGAGCTTCAACTCATAAAAAATGTTATAGATTTTAGAAAGTTAATTAGTACTCAAGTACTTAGTACTCCAGTTTAAGTGATACTCTTCTAACGCGTGTCAAATTCTTAGAAGTATATGAAGTAACTGTGCCTTTTTAAAGTTGACAACCTGAGTGTGGAGCATGGTTTATTTCTAATTTGTGTGAATAGCATGAACAAAAACTTTTATATTCGTTTTCTACCCTCCTTTCACAAAAAAAAATAATAATTGAACTATGTTAAGTATCCAGTCTAGCCAAAAACTTGGTGAGAAAGGCTTCAAGAATTGTGTGGGTGTCAAAAGAAATCACCCAGGACTGTGGATGTTTACCATATAGGTAATCACATATCTCTCAGCACAGTTCCCTCTGTGGTGTGCTAAATGCCGCTGAAGGATACTAAATGTTGCATTAGTGCTAATAAGAAAATTCAAGAATAATCTAGAAGACAAGGATCATGTTGTCCCAATGTCTGCTGTGTCTGTACTACCTCTCTTACTCCCAGTTTTCCATAAAACACTGGAATACAAGAAGCATCCTCAACTGATGACTTTTAAATGCTAGACTTGCATTGAACAATTAATGTATCTGAGAATCCCCAAATCCTAAATTTGTTCTTTTTAAATACTGTTGATCAATTCTTAAAGCTCGCCAGTTGGACTTCTGGTCACTGTGTATTCTTTTGTTCCTGTTTATTTGCAGAGGAAGTGTCTGCGAGGATAGTTCAAGTAGTCACGGCTGAAGCTGTAGCAGTCCTGAAAGGTGAACAAGAGAAAGAAGCCCTACACAAAGACCAGTCCGCAGCTCTGCCTTTAGGTAAATAAGAAAAGCCTAGGTCGGGACAAGCATGTTCAGCAAATGTATTCTACATTGTACATACTTTGTCTGTAGGGCAGTCACCTACCACCTTTACCAGAAGCAGGAGGACGTGTTTTCACCCCCTCAGTGGATTCACTGGGGTGCTTTGATAGGTTTTAGCGTAATAAGTTTGTTGTTAGGCATGATAACCCTTTTTGTTTATTCAATCTATGTACATGAAGTGAACTGAAGCTTCCATTAGAAATGACTATCTTTCCTTATGGGTTCAACTACATGAAACCAGTAGCTAGGGCTTTGTTAGAGTCATCAGTGACTTGAATCACATAAGAGAGACTTACCTTGTGATTAGAGAATCGACCATATAGCTCACCTAAGGGCACTTCAATAGCCTTGCTCTTTCCCATGGTCATAAATGCCCTTCAGTGCCACAGAGCCATGCAACGCAGAATCGCTGAGGAGGGCACTCAGGCAAACGCTTGCTGCCCTGCGCAGATAGATATACAGATATGTATGTTGATACGTGAATGCATAAATACATAAATGATAGATAGGTAATAGATGCGAAGATAAATTACAACTACATAGATGAGTGATAGATACATACATAGATAAGTGGATAGACTGAAACCTAATATATATATATATGTAAATTATAGTTAGATAATAGAGACTGAATAGATCCTAGATAGGTGGATAAGTAGACAGATATATATCTATAAATGAAAGGAGACTTTCTAGGATTCAGTCTATTTCATATACACATATGCCCATTCTGCCAAAAGGCATGGCTTCTAAATCCTAAAACCTTTTTCCTATTTTATTGCTCAGTGTATCCTTAATATTTTTTCCTGATTAAGAATCCTTGAAATGTCTACTAAAAATCAAGAATAAGAATATTTTCCTTTTCCAGATTAAGAGTTTAGAAAAAATATAGTCAATATGTGTCATTCTGACTGTTTTGATTATCAAGGGCTATCTTTCTCATGGACAGGATTGGAAAAAGAATACCGAATTTAAAACATTAACTTTTAATCTATCATTCACTCCAGTTCTTTGTTTCTTTGAAATAAAATTCAAGTTTTAAAATTCTAAATCTTAAAAATACATGGCACAAATCTCAGAGTTGTGAGCTAAACACCTGATGTCACAAAGCCACCTCTAAGGCACAACTGTATCATAAAACTTCAGTTCACATAATCTATGGAATAGGTGCAGCCGCTGGCATTCACTGAGAACTATTGCCTTTGAAATTCCTTCCCTGCATAGAAAGGTCACATGGAAGGTAAGTATCCAGGAGAACTTCAGAGGTGGTTCAGAGGCCTGCTAATTCAAGGTGATACCAAAACCAGGAAGTGGCCCAGCTCCCACTAGGTGGGTGGAGCTTGTCTGGCGGCCACCACAGGCTGTGTGGCTTTACTCTTCCTTTCTGAAGGTAAAAGAAAAAGGAAGTTTAACCTAAAACTGGAGGTGAAATGTCATTTAAAATGTTTATCAAGCAATGTGACTGACTATGAATGATCAAGATAATATCTGTTTCTAAACTTTGCAGAACATTCAAAATTTTGTTATTTTTAATTAGACAATTCTAATTCCAACCAAAATACTTGCCTGGGTATATTATAATGTAGTATTCAGGGCTAAATGAAGTTACAAATTTAACTTGGATTCTTTATTTAGAAATACAGTCGAATTTTTTCATTTGTTTCCAACTCATTTTTATGGAGAAAAGGCTTTTTATATGATGTGGGTGGGTCTTCTGTATATCTGTTGCTTTCATTGGTTAATTAATAAAGAAACTGCCTGGCCTGATAGGTCAGAACATAGGTAGGTGGAGTAGACAGAACAGAATGCTGGGAGGAAGAAGGCAGTGAGGCAAACGCTATAGCTCTCCTCTCCAAGATGGACGCAGGTTAAGATCCTTCCTGGTAAGCCACCACCTCGTGGTGCTACATGCATTAATAGAAATGGGTTAATCAAGATGTGAGAGTTAGCCAATAAGAGACTGGATCTAATGGGTCAAGCAGTGTTTAAAAGAATACAATTTGTGTGTTGTTATTTCGGGTGTAAAGCTAGCCATGCGGGAATGCAGCCCGCAGCTCCACGAGCTCGTGGTGAGACACAGAATATTAGAAATGGGTTGAGTCAAGATGTGAGAGTTAGCCAATAAGAGGCTACAGATAACGAACCAGGCAGTGTTTAAATGAATACAGTTTCCGTGTAATCATTTCGGATAAAGCTAGCCAGGCGGTGGGAGCGCAGCCCACCATAGCTTCTTCTACATTTATAAATACGGAATATTAATCTTCTAAATTGTCAACGGGTAAATCAGGCAAAGATAAGAGCTTCTTAGGAGTCTGTTTGCAGATTGGAGAACAACGGACGGAGAGAATTAACTGTTCCGTCTTACTTCTCTGTGTTTGATCTGCAGCAGTTGAAGCAACAGCTCATCTGCCACCTTCCCCACCACCATCGCCAGCCTCAGAACAAGCAGTTGCAGTGGAGGAAGGTAAGTTCTGGACCTTCTAGGGTTGTGCCTGTCCAACAAGTTAAACGATAAAGTCCAGTCCACGGCCAGGGATACCAGTGCCAGGTAACGTAGACAGGGCTGGTGTGAATTCAGAGCGTCAAGAAGAAAATAAGCCCAAAAATGAAAATAGAATCAGAAGTTTATGAATATGGTCAATATTATATAAAAGGAAAAATCAATTATGTGAAAACTCTGTGTTCAAGTTGCTAGAATAACTATAAGCAGTTAGCTTAATGTGGAGATGTGGGACCGAAATAATACAATCCTTTTATAGCTGAAAAGAAATAACAAATATAATCCCCAAGAGAGTAGGAGTCAGTAATTTCTTAGGGAAGTGCCAGAAATTGTGTAGTTTCCTCACGGTTATATTGCCAAGACTGCCCCCAGGACCTTCCCCATAGCAAAATCTCACCAAATATTAATGAATAAAGCAGGAAGTTAATGAATGAACAGATCCTGAGAGCAGTGAACCGGAAGCCATGGATGCTCCCCCACTGAGACCCACTACCGTCCATGAATACATTTATGAACTTGCTTCACACAGAACACCACGTCAGCATTTCAGTTCTCATTGACAAAACAGAGGGATGCTTTGAGAACATTCATTCAGAATGCAAGATGAGAGGCACTAGATTACAGTTTCAGCAGAAACTCGGTCCTGAGACTCAGCGTGTAGTAAAGGCTGGCTGATCGTTGGAAGAGGAACAACAGTGGCTTACTTTCAGTTTGCATGCTCGAAGGCCATTTTATTCATTTTCTCTTTCATTTGCTTTTTCTTGTGTTGTCCCTTCAGAGATCATTTGCCATGTAAAAGATAAATAACATCATCATTAAACACTTATCATGTTATAATTCATAATCTGATTCATTTCAATTTTTCCTAAATACAGAAAACTAAATTACTCAACTACATTCTGTTAGCTCTGAGGCAGCTCTTTTAGTCCCACATTTATAAACAACTCCTCTTCTTTGTGGTAAGCTTTTTCATAATTAAACCAACCCCCTCCTAATCTGATACCTGAAATAACAGAAAACAAGCAAAATCATTCTGTGAAAAGAAATGGCAACTGTAATTAGTGTATAGCAGCAATTGGCTATTAGTTAATCTCCTTAAATGTCATTTGCAATATCCTTTATACATCTGAAAGATTCTGTCTGGACTGTTTTTCCTGTCATCTGGGCCATATTTGCTGAGCACCTAGTGTCCCACAAACACTTTAAATCCCGAGCAAATGCTTGAGAACAAAACATACATAATCCTTCCTTTCAAAGAACAAACTGCATGGTGAACAAGAATGCAATAAATAAGCTTACAAATAATTCAAGTGGATTACCTCCAGGAAGGGTAAGGACAGCGGCCTCTGGACAGAACAAGAAAGGGATCCTTCTTTTATTGCATTTCTAATTCCAAAATGAGAGGAAATATTGGTAGATCATGGGTGAAAACTGTGCGGCGGAGGAAACAGGATGCACAAACGCATACCAGTAAATGAAAAGATGCTGTGTTCTAGGACAGGGAGCCTTGGCTAACAGGTAGCGAGAAAAGGGGAAAGGATTAAGTAAATAGAGAGGATAGTAACTTGCTGGGGCCAAGGGCCTGGATTTCATTCATTGTCTACTGGAGATGCAGTAGGAAGCTGCGCATGACAGCTGTATTTCTCTGAGATCGTTGAAAAGTGTATCTTAACTCCCATGTAAAACCATTAGAGTGCCCAAGAATCCTCTTAACCCAGAAAGGGCTATAATGTTGACAGAGGTGACCCACTCCACAAGTCTGCTTGAGGTCGAGTTATTGACTCCTCTTACTCAGTGGGAATTGTAGCAGAAAAGCCAGGAGACTCCTCTTATCTGTCTGGGAATCCACTTGGCCTCTTCCTTACAGAAAACACATCACACACAGTGAGAATATGAATAAATCAGACATGGCTTCACTTTTACATCAAAATGTAAGGAATTGCCTTCCCCATACTGGTCCAATATATTCAGGGAAGATGCTCCTCCCTTCTCATTCCAAGTAATTCAGTTATTTTTCAGAACTAACTTTGTGTTTACCATTTATTTCTTTTTCAAAGGAGACATTAAGGTACATAAAGATCGAATGATAGATCACCATCTTTTATGTTATGTGAAAAGATATGTATATATTTTATAGACCCTACATAATTCATTTAAATCAGATGATAATTTCATCTTTAATGTGTGAAAGGATCAAAACAAAGTTCTATTGATCCTTTATCTCAAACCCCAGTACAATCAATGTTCAACAGATTTTTTTTAAAAAAGAAAAAGTTAAAATTAAGAAAACAAGCTAGTGAGTGACGAGCTACAAGAAAGGAAGGAACTGTTTGGTTTCTTAAGTTTTCAGTAAAGACCCAGCGTGATATACTACTGACAGCAGGCAAGCTTCATTCATTGTCTAAGAGATTCTTTCCCCTCCAGATCACAAACTCTCCCAGCAACTTTGAGGGCACAGAGACAGTCACAATCTGATCCTTTCAAACAAATGGAAGAGAGCAGTTTGATTCAAATTAAGTACATAGTGGCTCTGGGGACTCTTGCTTCTTAATTAACAGACGTTTAAAAAGGGAATGCTTCCATTGAAAATAATTTGACATTCATCACTTTAAAAAACATCCATTTATTGTAATTATGTAATATTAGTATATCTCATATCTCAGTATGTGTCCTTATTGAGGGAAATACCTAAAAGAGATTTTATTGAAAAGAATTAACAAGTAGTTCACATAGGAAACAAACCATGGTGCTGCTCTGGAGGGCTCTGTTACTTACAATGTGTCCTCACCTCCTTTCCTCTGACCTTTGTGAGTCATAGCAGCTCATCCCCACTGAGCTGTCTGTGGAAATCCAAGAGAATACTCTGAACCAGAGGTCCTTCTGCCTTGTGCAGTTAATCCAGAATTCTGGTGTGATATTTTCCAGGGTCATAGAGACGGCAGCAGAATTGTTATCTGAAAGTAGCTCCTCTCCATGTCATTTTGGGTGGCAGTAACCACCAGAACACGGAGGAATCTTTGGCCAAAAGCTTGCAAATTGGAGCCAGATGGTAGGGAAGACTGTCTGTGGGGTCAGCTGCCTTCTGCTCTGCGCCATGAGGCAACAGCAATAATCAGTCCTCAATAGCCCATGAGCGCTAGATTCTCATAAACATGACTACAGATTTGTCCCAAAAAGGTCTGATCAACCAAGGTTGAGTTTGGAAGGACAAATCTTCCTTTTGCCCAATATAAAATTTTAGATGTGTTAATAAAAAGTTTAAATAAACACAAACTAGAAGGAAAATATTCCTCAGTCAGAATCAGCTTATTTCTGAAGCCTGTAGTTATGCACAGGAGCTATGTAAAAAGGCCAAGTTCCTCAAGGTCATCTAATCCTTTTAGACGGCACTTGTTAAATGAAGTAGATTATTGTGTGACAAAAAAACAGTTCCCAAATTGCATTAACTTATAGTAAATGATGAACAAAGTCATGAAAGTAGCTTATAAAGTAAACACACATTTTCCCTAAGTTTCTCAACTTCAAATTCAAATGCCAAATTAAGGTAAAGCTTAGCATATGGAAGGCACCATGCAAACATATATGTAGTTACACACAGGTTCATCTGGAAAAGGTCACTTGCCCCTAAGCCTGACAACTTGAGCCTGACCCCGAAGACCTGTGTTGTGGAAGAAGAGAACCAAGTTGTCCCATGGCCTTCACATGTATAGCATAGTGTACATTGCACCTTGTAGGCATTTTGTGTGCATGCATGCATGCATGCATGCATGCGATGAGAATCCACACATAGGATAATTTTGAATACTTACACATTACGCTTCGCAGTTTTATCAATATCTTATCATTTATTTCATCCAGCAACCCACAGAGATAAGAGATTTCCATGTTTTGTCAGGGATATCATTGTTTAGCTCAGAATAAATGACTCGGCTAGAATGTATATCTAAATCTGAGTCTTCCAATTCAGAATTCCATAGTTCCCTAAAGCTAAGGTTCTCAAGGTTGGTACTATAGAATTGTGCAAGTTAGTTGCCTTCAGACGGGAGTCTGGTCCAAACTACCATTCTTATGTGGATTTTTATAAAATGTCTCCCAAATACATACTCCATTCTTTATTTATTTGTTTGTCTATTTATTTTTAATTACTTACCCTGCCCAATGGGTGGTAACCAAAGCATCCATCATGTACATTTCATCTCTGCAACAGATGAGACTCTAACGCCTCTGTCTTCCCCGCTGGGGACTCCTACACTGCGCAGACTCAGCCACCCCCCACCCCCGCATACAATGTTCCTGTTTATCTCTGAGGCCTGCGCCACAGACGGCCTTTACTCACAACCTCTAAGAAGACACTTGAAGTTCTTAGAGCACACAGTCCTAGGAGAGGTCTGGACTTGGCCTACTATCCCTTTTGAGCGAAGAGACAAGGACTAAGGAGAAATGGCCATTCTGCTTGGGCAACTAAAGGTCCCACAAATGGTTCCGCCATCCTGGAACTAGACCAAAAGTATTCAAAATAGAAAAATGTCACTTCTTGTGAGATGTTATAGATCGCTGAGCTGTTTTCAGAAGGCCGAATGCTCCAGAAGATTGGAAATATCACCGAGTACCTAGCACCTCCTCACCACCAGCTCTCGGCTCTCACTGCCCCCTTTGTGTTGTAATCTTCTGCTTCCCAGAAAACAAATTCAGAAGAGCAGAGAAATACATAACTCATTTTTCCTTATTTGACAGTGCATGAAATCAGTTGAACAAGTTAAACATTTTATAAATAGTTTGCATGCGTGGTGTCCGAGAGTCACTGGAGAACATGTGACTGACAAGGACCAATCACAAGCCCAGAGCTACCATCTAGTCCCTGCTGCAAACAAATTCTCAGCAGTTATCTGCTCAGCTACTGCTGAGAATAGCAAGCATCATTTTGGGTTACTCTTCCCCATTGTATACTAATTACCATTATTATG